CCCCCCCCCCCCCCCCCCCCCCCGCCTTCTCTATGCTCTTGAAGAGGTCTTCCCTGATTCCCAAAGTCCACTCAAGACTCAGGCCCACTTCCCATTCTCCTTTCGTCTTAGCAGAAGAGAATCAGTTTCTATCTGTTTGTAACTACCTTGTTCCAGGCTTAGTTGGTCATTAGGCCTCTCCTCATTTTCTTCTCCATCAATTTTTAGGAGGAATTCTATGTCTGGTATGGCTGAAGAGAGGACAAGAAAAGAAGATAATTAGAGATCTTTATGGAACAAGAGTCATCTGAAATTACACAGTTAGGAATTTCCAACCCTTGGGTCATTCAGTACTCAGTGGTTCCCAATCCTGTTGGAAATGTTTCCTCTTCATTCCTGGGACAGAATGAAGAGGAAACATTAAGTGGCCCTTATGCTTCCCACACAGAAAGGACCCACTTGAATTTCAAGATAAAAGAGTTGTGGCAGCATCATGAGCTTGTTACTCATGTAAAAAATTTCAGCTGGCCAGGAAAGCATATATCAAAATAAATAATGTACTACTTATTTTGAAATGTGTTTACTTAACTGTTTTAACAGTAAAGAAAAAGAGAGGGCTTTCCTTGTGAGGAAAACAAAGAGGTTTATGTGTATAAAGGAGGATAAAATTCCAAATCTTTAAAAATGTGGCTGGACAAGAGAAGGTTTCTGTTTAACTCAGTCATGGAGGATAAGTGCTTCTTAAAGAGACAAATCAGAGGACATGGGAGCCAATTAGAAAGATTTCCCAGGGTCACCCAGATCCCAGGACAGAGGAAAGGCACTCTTTGAAGATGAAAGCAGGGTTTGAATATTATGGCACAAGCAGACATCACAAGATACGTGGAACAGGGATCTTGGAAGGTTACCAAAAAAAGGAGAACACAGCACCAGCCTTGGGCCCCTGCATGTAGGTAGCTCAACAAACATATGGAGGAAGGTAATACACCTGTAATCCTTGGTGCAAGTCTCTGGAGGCACCCGGGAAAGAGATGGAGGGAAGCAGTTAGACAATATACCTAAGGGCTGATGGCAGGGGTACCTCTTGGGGCAATAATTCTGTACTTATTAACCTTATAAACCTGTACTCTCTCTTTACTGTGTGGTAAATAACATCAAATTACTTAATTTTTGAAGCCAGACCTTCTAAAATCTTCTTTTATACTTATCCCATTTGAATAAACTCCCACAATCTGCTTCTCACTCTGAGATTAATCTAATTTGTCCTTGTTCTGCAGACACATGGACTCTTTAACACTCTATGCTTGCTCCCATGGCACTACATTCCTCAGTTCATATTATTTTTTTTCTTTTTGATTCTCCAGAGTTACTTGGAGATCTTTTTGAGACCAAAAGTATATAGAATAAAAAATTTTTCTAGGCAAGTCAAACAAAAATTATTGGAGGACATCTTTACTCAAAACCAATAAAAAATATGAAATCATGCCTTCTCAGGGAAAAAGTAGAGAATCAAATCAGTAATAAAACCATCTCTGGCAGAGTAATTGGTTTTTTGATTATTTGATTGTTGATCACACCTCTTGTAGAGAATCAGTTAATGAGACCATTTCTACCTCCTGAAGAGCAAATTTGACCTTGCTCACTACTCTGGAAACCTGATGTAGGTGGCCTTTCTTCTGTGTTAATAGGCCAACACTGAGCTTAGAGTTAAAAATGATCAGTGACTGCAGGTAGGTAAATTTCATGTGGCCTAGGAGGGACTGGATGTTAACTATAATCCATTTTTTGTCTTCCTTCAAAGTGGTGACTGTTGTAACTCAACTGTTCCTTGAGCCATCTCTAAAAGTTATGACCAGAAAGTTGTTCCATGAGATATTGACACCCCTGTGCATTCTGTAGCTAAATCAGGGTGGAGCCAGCACCCTTCTCTAAGCCATCACTTGAGGCAGGTTGTATTCAACTTTGTGGACTGTGTGGAACTTTGCAAATGGTCCCATAGAAGAGGAGCAACTGATGCTGCCCTTTGGGGATGCTGTGTTTCTCGTCATGTGTTCTTCTAAGTAAATCTGCTGGGTGTTTGTATTCTAGCCATCTACACTAATAAAAGAGAAAAATGGTAATTGGCGTACGAGCTACCCTTTTCATTGGCTAATCAGGGCTCTATGCAAATTAACTGCCAACTAAGATTGGCAGTTAACTGCCAACAAGATGGCGGTTAATTTGCATATGTAGGCACAATGCAGGGAGGCCAAAGGGAAAGCAGGAAGAAGCCCCCTGCCACTGACAGTGATCAGAAACCCAGGCAGGAGCCAAAACTCGGGGGGCAAGGCAAAGGCAGCCCTGGGGGCCCCCTTAGCCCTGCCCCCCAGCCATGATCGGAGAATCGGGCACCTTTGCCACCCTGGCCAGTGATAGCAGGAAGTAGGGGTGGAGCCAGTGATGGGAGCTGGGCACGGTTGAAGCTGCCAGTCCCGGGAGCTAGGGGTCCCTTGCCTGGGCCTAAAGCGAAGCCCACGATCGCGGGGCCGCTGCAGCTGCGGGTCCCCGCTGCCCGAAGCGTCCTGCAGGGGCAGGGGCAGA